GGTTGCATTATCTGTTAATGAGTCTTCTCCTAACCTGATGCCACGTTCGTCTTCCTATAATCCATCTTCTCGAATTATTTGCTCAGCATACAGATTAAGTATGGTGAAAAAATACAACCCTTGCACACATCTTTCCTGATTTTAAACCATTTCATGTCCCCTCTTTCTGTTTGATGCGTGATGTTCTTGATGTCACCCCACAATTCTGGTTTTCGGTCATTAGTGTCTAAAGCATCAAATGTGTTCTTGAGGTGATCTCTAAATTCACATTTTGATTCTGGTGGGCTTGTTTTTATTTTCTTTAGCTTCAACCTGAACTTACATCTGAGCAGTCTATCGTGCCCTTGTTTTGACTGATGATATGGAGCTTTTTCACTGTCTTTTTCCACAGATGTAGTCAGTTTGATTTCTGTGTGTTCCATCTGGTGAAGTCCATGTGTACAATCAACTTTTTTATTATTCAAGAAAGTATCTGCAATGAAGAAGTCATTGGTTTTGTAAAATTCTATCATGCGATCGCCAGCAATGCTTCTATCACCAAAACCGTATTTTCCAATGACTGATCCTTCCTCTTTGTTTCCAAATTTTGCACTTCAATTGCCAGTAATTTTCAATACATCTTGATTGCATGTTTGATCAATTTCAAACTGAAGAAGTTGGTAGAATTCTTCAATTTCATTATCACTGGCTTTAGTAGTTGGTGCATAAATTTAAATAGTAGTGGTATTAACTGGTCTTCTTTGTTGCTGTTATTGTTAAGTGCTGTAGAATCTGTTCCAACTCTTATCGACCCTATATATAGGGTTTCTGAGGAGCAGTTGGTGGTTTTGAACTGCTAACCTTCTGGTTTCCAGTCCAGTGCTGAACCTACATCACCACATCAGGAGTCCATTTTATAAGAGTAGGCAGGTGAAACCAATATCCATAAGGCAATCAAACACATGAACTTTTAAAAACACTTAAGTTCAGTCTTCCTTGTAGACATATGGATACTATCCTATCACAGACAGCGCTGTACTTCAAGACAGAACTTGATATATATGTTCTTTTTGATGATGAATGCGACACCATTCCTCTTCAATTTGTCATTCCCAGCATAGTAAACCATGTGATTGTCAGATTCAAAATGGCCAATATCAGTCCATTTCAGCTCACTAATGCCTAGGATATCAATCTTCATGTGTTCCATTTAATTTTTGACAACTTTTAAATTTCCTAGATTCATACTTTGTATATTCCATGTTCCAATTATTAATGGATGTTTGCAGCTGTTTCTCCTCAATTTGAGTTGTGCCTCATCAGCAAATGAAGTTTCCAAAAGCTTTACTCCATTCATGTAATCACAGTCAGCTCTACTTTGAGGAGTCAGTTCTTCCTAGTCATATTTTGAGTGTCTTCTAACCTAAGGGACTCATCTTCTGGTACTGTATCTGACAAAATCCTGGTACTATTTATCATGTTTCTAACTGACAGTGTTTCACTGCTATTCATAAGGTTTCAGTGGCTAAACATTCAGAAGTAGTTCACCTCTCTTTCTTCTGAGATTGTCTTAGTCTGGAAGCTCAGCTAAAACCTGTCCACCATAGATGACCGTGCAGACATTCAAAATACTGGTCACACAGCTTCCAGCATCATAGCACCATGTAAGCTACCACAGTGTGACAAACTGACAGGTTCTTCTAGATCTCTTTACTCAAAAGGTGGTCCTAGGACCATAATAGAACTGGTATCTTTTGGGAGCTTGCTATGAATGAAAAATCTGAGGCTCTGCCCTTATCTCCTGAAGCAGAATCTGCACATAATATTTGGAAAGGCACTGCTTTACACCATACTGAAACTCCAATTTACAGTAAGCTGCTAGGCATTGAAGGAGTGTTGGTAGCACAGTGGTTAAGTGCTTGGCTAAATGAAAGCTTGGCAGTTTGAACCTGACAGCTGCCCCATGGGCAAAAGATGCTGCAGTCTGCATAGGAAACTTTATGGAGCAGGTCGACGGCAGTGGGTTTGGTTTGATTTGGTATGGCATACTAGGCATTGAAGGAACCCTGGTTGTACAAAGGTTAAACACTCAGCTGTTAATGCAAAGGTTGGCCACGCAAATCCACCAGTGGCTCCATCAGAGAAAAGATCTGGTGATCTATTCCCAAAAAGATTACAGACAAGGAAACCCTATGGGGCAGTTTTGTCATATAGGGTTGCTGTTCATTGGAATTAGCTTGGCAGCACATGAAAATTAGGCATTGAGTGCAGTGGTAGTGTAGTGGTAGAAATCCCACCATCCATGCTTGAGTCTTGCCATGGCGCTGTAGGATAATCACTGGACTGCTAACTGCAAGTTCTGTGTGTCAAAGGCACCTGTACAGGGTTGCTATGAGTTAGAATGGATTCACTGGCACTTAACAAAAACAACATGCTCGAGTCCTGCGTTTGACTCTTTAGCAGTGCACAGCTACCACCCTCCTACAGTAGAGACTTACATTTCAGCGATGCTTTCTGACTAGGAAGAAAGGCTTATCAATCACAGCAGTTTGATTCCATTGTGTATGTGGTCCCATGAATTGAGGACAGTAGTCAACTATAGTAGATATTGGTGGTCACACTTTGTCACTATTATTTGCATTCTTAACTGTACATTTCGTGTCTATCACGGTGTCTCTATCACTGTGACACTACAGGATAAGCACTCGACTGCAAGGTTGCTTTGAATCACAAGGTAGGCGGTTCAAACTCACCAGTTGCTCCTTGGAAACCCTATACAGGGTTGCCATGAGTTGGAACTGACTTTACAGCACTTAACAGCAGCAACATCATTCAATGAATTCTTTAGTCAGGTACATAGTTGTGAAATACAAAAGCTGATCATCCAATCACTCTGTAATTGAATATATGTACTCATATGCAAATAATCAACTGAAAAATTTCAAATCTATTTTGGGAAGATTGGATCAAATCAACTAACGGGCACCAAGGACACAGATTTAAGATGAGAAGCATATAGTGTAAAAGGAGAAACAAGATTTTCAGTACCTTTGCATTTTGAAAAGCAAAACAAAGCAGAGACATTAATCTCAGACCTCTAATCACATGTTATCAATGCTGGGTTTTGTGTGTAAACACCTTACAGTGATATCAGCCTGTGTGGTTTACAAAGGCTTCTGTGCACTTTATCTCCCTTCATGGTCAAGCAGCCCCGGGCAGCAGGAGGTACGTCTGTTACGAACCAGTAAGAGAAGATAGTATCTTTGCTGTGCAGCTGCCAAATATTGTTTTGTAGGTGTAACACTCTTTCTCAACAACAGCACAATTACCAACAAGTAAACCATGAAGAAGCATAAACATGGGCTGGCTTCACCTCTGGTCTACACTGTATTGCTGTAATGCACTCCTTTCACCTGGTTGCCTCGAACTCACCAGGTATGCTCCCTTGGGTATAAGTGGGGCAGCACATTTCCCAACAAAGGTCCAGGGAGCCTGCTTAAACCACGTGGACCAGGGTGTGCCCCTGACCAGGCTCCCAGGGCTTTTGGTCCCTGTCTGGGTGAAGCCCTTGGCTTATTCCTGATGAGCAGCAATGGATTCCTTCTCAGAAAGTGTCCCCTTCCCTCAGGTCTCTGACCATATGGGTTTGGCTGGATTGGAGACCTCCAGGAAGTAGACAGCTGAGTACTGTGTCCTGGAAAGGTCCAAACCATTAGGTTTAATGAATGTCTAAGTCAGTCTCTGAGAAATAACCTAATCCTCAAAAACAGAATAAGCCACGCCCAAATACCCTCCTCAGCCTATGTAAGTGTGCAATCGCTGTGAAAACCACCCTGGTAGCACATTTCCATGTTGTTGCTGCTAAGTCCTGTTGATTCCAACACATAGCAACCCTGTATAGGGTTTCCGAGGAGCAGCTGGAGGGTTTGAACTGCCAACCTTGTGGTTTTCAGTCCAGTGCTGATCCTACAGCGCCACCCCAGAAGTCCTGCACATTCCCATGATGGTGGTGGTAGTGGTGTGCCATGGAGTCGGTTCTGACTCATAGCGACCCTGCACAGGGTTTCCAAGGCTGTAAATCTTTACAGGAGCAGAAAGCCTCATCTTTCTCCCATGGAACAGCTGGTAGTTTCAAACTTCTAGCCTTGAGGTTAGCAGCCCAACTTGTAATCACTATGCTACCAGAGCTACATCCCCGAAATTTAGACACAATGAACAGACAGGAAAACGTAAGGGAGCTGAGGAAGCCCAATGGAGCTCTGCTGCCCAGGAGACGGTGCCAACCCCAGAGGTCAGAATGGGATTCTGAGTCACCACAAGAACACTGGATTGACAAAACTGTTATTGCTAGAATCAAAAGAAAAAATGCTTTAAAAGTCTACCTTCCTTCCTGATAAGTGCCCACAGTGACATTTCTGGCTTAACTTCATGGAGAGTGAAACAGTCACCTTGGTTACGAAAAAGAACTCGAGCACCCAGTCTGCCTAAATCTCAAACCGCTCCATTGATGGAGTAGGTTAAGAAGCCCACATTTGTAAAGTGAACTCCAACCCTGGAGAGTTTCCACAAACATCATCTGGGACCTTTAAGTGTTACAACTTTGAATGATGTGTCCCTTTGTGTGTGTTTAAGTCTGTGTGAGTGACTATGTATGAGTGTGTAGTGTGAGGATACCTATGGTTGTCTGTGTGATTGTGAATGTGAGCATCTGTGAGTGTGTGGTTGTGAGTCTGTTTCTTGTTTTAATGGGTTCAGTTGAAAGGAGCCTGAAAGCAGCATGAAGAAATAATCATACTAATGAGAATTTACCATTGAGGGTTGTAAGCAGTTGTTCTGATTTTATATCTGACACATGGGGCTTAGTGAACATTTTATTTAGGTGATGAATCCTTGCACAGATATCCAATATACAGCTAGCCTCCCAAACCCCTCCATTTTGCTTTACTCTAGAAGCCTTTGGGCTGATTCAATTGCACAAACCAAGAAGGACCTAGAAAGCTTAGGAAAGGAAGAGGCCTTACCTGCTGATGCAGTAGAAAGCAATGAGCCGGAATAGATCCGCAAAACTGATTCCTGAGCCTTCCAGGGAAAAAGCTGGAAAAGAGATTTTAGAAACCAGCTGAGTCTCCTGAATGCGTTTTGAAAAAGGAAGGGCCCTCTACTACCGCAGCTGTACGAGTGGGACTAGTTCTCAAACAAACTACTGTGTGGTTTATCAGAACCAGCTGTGGGGAGAATATATGTTAGCCAGAGATAGGCAGTAAATAGCTAGATGGCCTGGAAGTCCTGTTCTGACTCATTCTAAGCACATGCGCCAATGCTTGGTAAACAGAGCAAGGCAGGCTCAAATTGCACAATGCTCTTTCCTTTAAAGTTCAGAAAACAAACTTGGGCAGGGGGCAAGAGACCAGGCTGGAGCAGGGCCAGCAGCACATGACAGGGCTTGGGGAATACCAGCCCCCGACTCCCTCCCTTTGAATCTCCTGAGACATGGACCTCTGTGGTCATACTCCTCTTTGCCAAAATAGCACATCTCTGGTAATAACACAGAGCAGAGGAGTACATGCTTTGAGCACAATAAAAGGTTTCTGCGAACCAGTTTTAAACTCAGTATAAAAGATCCTAAAACCCATTTACTTAAGAACTCAAGTTCCTCCAACTACAGTTTCCCAAGGAGAAGAGATGTGCTGACCCCTGGTGTGTCATTTGGGGATCTTTCTAAATGGTAAGAGGTTCCACCTCAAAGCATTCATCTGTTTGCTAGCCACCCCTCATGTTATCTTGTTGAAATTCTACTCACACCCGTTGTTCTTCCAAAAACATTCCAAATGCCCTGTGTTATGAAGATTTCCTCACTTCAATGATCACATATGTTTTCTTCTCTTTTGTACCATTCTATACCCTTATTTGGAGTCCTGTGGGTTAATGCGCCAGACTGCAAGGCCGTTTGAACTGTAAGGCTGGCGGTTCAAGCTCACCAGCTGCTCCTTGGAAACCCTATGCAGGGTTGCTATGGGTCAGAACCGACTCGACTCGATGGCACATAACAACAACAACATACCCTTATTTGGAGTCCTGGTGTGGCACTATGGGTTAATGCACTAGACTGCAAAGTCCTTTGAACTGCAAGTTCAAGGTCACCAGCTGCTCCGCGGAAACTCTATAGAGGGTCACCAAGGGTCGGAACCGACTTGACGGCACTTAATAAGAACAACATACCCTTGTTTATTTTGCCAGTTTTATATTATTTTACTTATTTAGTGTTTATGAAGCACCCCCAAGCACATCCTAAAAATACATCACTTCATAAACACACACAGATACACACCACACTAACACAGAGAGGCAGACACATATTGCATCATAATTTAGTGAACTATTGTTGTGAAAGGCTATTGAGTCTGATTCAACTCATAGCGACCCTATATAGGGTTTCTGAGGAGTGGCTGATGAACTTGAACCATCAACCTGGCAGTTCAAACTGACCATGCAGTCCAGTGCATTAACCACATGAGAACTCTAGTTTAATGAGTTAGGTAGGAGAAAGTATTGGGAAGGTAACATTCTCTGATCCTCATTTTTCTTATCTACAAAATAAATATGTAAAAGTATTCTATACAAATATGTAATGATATATATTATTAAACCCCATTATTCAGAAGTTATGGCAAATAATTGATGTCTGTTTATAGCAACTCTTTCCTCTCTCAGTTTACCACCAATTTCCAGAGAAGACAAGCCTGGATGGGAAGTTGCCAGCAGGGTGTAACCAAGGCATGTGGTAACTAGTTGCCAAGTTAACCCTTTGCTCAAACTAGCTCTTTCAACCAGGTTTAGCCATGCAAAGAAGATTAGGGAAGAGGCAGGGCAGAAAGAGCAATGTCTAGCTGTTGTATGCAATTAAGAGTCAGATAAAAATGATTTTACAAGATACAAGGGAGTATCCAAATGATTTTGTGTTAATGGTTTCTGCGTAGAGTCAGTTGCCTAAAATGAGAGGGTTGTAAACTGAGGGCTCTTAGTCATCAGAGCTGTGTTTGTGCATGTATTTGCCATGATGGGCTTAATTTCCACTCCTTTCCACAACTTCCAACATTTGTACCCTGTTGGCTTTCCACCCAGCTGTCTCGGAAATGCATCTCTATGGGTGTGTTTCTAGCACCTGGACACCTGTCAGGTGAGTATATTTTTAAGGATGGGAAGTGTTCTCCAAGGAGCTGAAAGAGAAACATGGCACAGAGCATGATCTGTTGACAGAACAGAGAGGTGATACCTTCAGCATGGAGGTAAAGTAAACAAGAAAGCCTCCAGAAACATAGTTCTACTAATAGAAAGGGAAGGAAGTGACTTCCAGGCTAAATTTTCAGGATGAACTTTGGATACTAGAAGGGATTTTAAAAACTATTACACCTACCACTTCTGAGCTGGTTGACTTTCAGAGGCTCACATGGAACTGCCTTTTTTTTCTCCATGTAATAAAAAAATTTCTCTTACTATATATTCATTATTGGAAGGCACTCAGAATACAACTAGAACACAGCTATTTCCTCAAAGTAAAGTCGACCTTAATGATGTGTATGGAGTAAAGCTTTTAGGAACTTCATTTGCTGATGGGGCACAACTCAAAATGAGAAGAAACAGCTGCAAACATCCACTAGTAATCAGAACATGGAATATATGAAGTATGAATTTAGGAAAATTGGAAGTCATCAAAAGTGAAATGCAGAAAGATCAATGTCTTAGCTTTAGTGAGCTGAAATGGACAGGTCCATTTTGAATCTAACAATCTACTATGCAGGGAATAACAAGTTGAAGATGGCACCACATTCATCATCAAAAAGAACATTTTAAGATCTGTCCTGAAGTACAATGCTGTCAGTGATAGAATAATATCCACACAAGGAAAATCTGTTTCTATGACTATTATTCAGAATTTCATACCAGCCACTAATGCTAAAGGTGAAAAAATTGAAGAAGTCTACCAAATTCTCCAGTTTGAAATTAATCAAGCATGCAATCAAGATGCATAGGTAATTACTGGTAATTCCAATGTGAAAATTGGAAACAAAGATGGTAGGTGGAAATATAGCCTTAGTGATAGAAATGACACTAGAGATAGAATTTTGTAAGACCAATGACTATTTTATCACAAATACCCTTTCAACAATGTAAATGGAGATTACACACATAGACCTCTGATGGAATGGATAGGAATCAAATTGACAATATACCTGTGGACAGAGTAGATGGAGAAGCTCAATATCATCAGCCAAAATACGGCCAGGCACCAACAGTGGAATAGATCATTCATTGGCTCATATTTAAGTTCAAGTTGAAGCTGAATAAAAAATTTAAATGATCACAAGACCTTGAGTATATCCTATCAGAATGTGGAGGCCATCTCAAGAAATGATTTCACACATTGAAAACTAATGACTAATACCAGACAAGTTGTGGGATGGCATTAAAGACATCAAAAATGAAGAAAGAAAAAAGTAATTAAAAAGACAGGAAAGATAGACAAAATCCAAATGGATGTAAGAAACTTGTTCTTCAACACAGAGATGCTAAAGTAAATGGAAGAAATGATGATGTAAAAGAGTTGAAGAAAGGATTTCAAAAGGCAACTTGAGAAGACAAAGCACTATAATGAAATGTGCCAAGACTTGGAGTTAGGAAACCAAAAGGGAAGAACACAACCAACTTTCTCAAACTAAAAGGATCGAAGAAAAAAATTCAAGCCTTGAGTTGCAATAGTGAAGGATTTCTGGGGAAACTATTCAGTGACACAGAAAGTATCAAAAGAAAATGGAAGGGATACACAGAGTCACTGTATCCAAAAGAACTGATTGTCAGTCATCCATTTCAGGATGCAGCACATGATCAACAACCAATGGAATTGAAGTAGAAAGTTCACGCTGCATTGGCAAAAAACAAACCAAAAATTGACAGAATATCAATTGCGATGTTTCAGCAAACAGATACAGCATTGAAGAGGCTCACTAGCCTACAACAAGAAATTTGGGAGACCTGGTAAACTGAGTGGAAAAGATTATTTGTGCCCATTCCAAAGAAAGGTGATCCAACAGAAGGTTGAAGCTATTGAACAGTATCATAAATATCACATGGAAGTTAAATTTTGTGGAGGATAATTTAAAAATGGTTGCAGCAGTACACAGACAGGGAACTGCCAGAAATTCAAGCCAGATTTATAAGAGTATGTGGAACAATACAAATAGTATTTTATATTTGATGAGTTTGGGCTGAAAGCAAAAAGTACCTGAAAAATATTTACTTGTCCTTTATTGACTATGCAAAGGCATTCACAACTATGTGGATCGTAACAAATTATGGCTAGCACTGTGAAGAATGGAAATTCCAGAACACTTCATTGTACTCATGTGAAGCCCCTTGCAGTTGTTTGAATAGAATGAGGAGATACTGTGTGGTTCGAAATTCAGAAAAATATACCATTGTGCATTAGCTTTGCTTAATCAATCTGTATGCTGATCAAATAATCTGAGAAACTGGACTACATGATGAAGAATGCAGCATCAGGATTGGAGGAAGACTCACTTACAACCTGCGATATGCAGATGACATAACCTTGCTTGCTGAAAGCAAAAAGGACTGAAGCACTCACTTACTGATAAAGATCAACGACAGCCTTCAGCAGGGGTCACATTTCAACATAAAGAAAACAGAAATCCTCACACCTGGACCAATAAGCAACATCATGGTAGATGGAGAAAAGACTGAAGTTGTCAAGGATTTCATTTTATTTAGCTCTACAACTAACATTCATAGAAGCAGCAGTCAAGAAATCAAATGATGTATTATTGCATTGGGCATATCTGTTGTAAAAGACCTCTTTTTAAAGTGTTAAAAAGCAAACATGCTACTTTGAGAACTAAGTATCAGTCCTAAACCAGGGTGTTTTCACTTGCCTGATATGTATGACTAAAGAACAATGGATGCCTTTGAATTGGTTGTAGGTGAAGAATAATAAATATACCAAGGATTATCAGAAAAATGAACAAATCTTCCAGCCAGAATGCTCCTTAGATGTAAGGATGGCAAAACTTCCTCTCATGTACTGTAGACATGTTATCAGAAGGAAGCAGTCTCTATAGGACATCATGCCTGGTTAAGTAGAAGAAGGTCACCAAAAAAAGAGGAAGACTTTTAATAAGATGGATTGATAACAGTGCCCGCCACAATGGAATCATAATCAATGACTGTGAAGATGATGCAGGACCAGGTTTATTTTAGTCTGTTGTACAGAGGATCACTGTGAGTCAGAACTGACTTGACTGCACGAAACAACAGCAATATCTTTAAAATGATAAGTTTTAAATGCATCCTTGAATTACCCTCTATTGGAAATGAACTGGGGTTTGATGACTGCTCCTATATTTGCAAGTGGAAATCTGTTCCTGTTATAATGACCTTGTAAATTCAGCTGGAAAAATGCTACAAGGACCCCACTTAAAGTTAAACTTGCACTTAATTACAGACGGGTGTGGTGCTGTAGGATAAGCACTGGACTGCTAACCACAAGGTCAGCGGTTCAAACCCACCAGTCGCTCCTTGGAAACCTTATACAGAGTTGCTGTGAGTCAGAAATGACCTGATGGCACCTAAAACAATAACAACAATTAGAGAGAGGTTGGTAGGTTTCGCTTTTGCCAGGACTGTTTCCTGCAGAGACTTACTTTAAGGGTCATGTGGCTCCACATGATTATAAACTACCATAGTGAGAATCATCCCATTTTTTGCCCTTAAATAGACCTAAATAATCTCAATTTCCTCAAATGTAGGGACTGGGCCTCAGTTTGATATTGCTGTTGTTTAGTGCAGTCAAGTGAGTTTTGATTAATAGTGATCCTATGTACAACAGAAGAAAACACAGTGAGCACCCTGGCCTCAACCTTGCTCTTGGAATGGTTGCCAGACTTCCAAACCCACCAATCTCTCTCTACACTCAGCTGTTCGCCCTCCACTTCAGACAAAGCCTTCAACTCTGATGTGCAGACCCATTTTCATGTCCTTTCTTGGAGATAAGCAGTATATCAGAAAAGGATACACCATTTCTTAAATTTTTTTAATTTAAATCCTGAACCTGCATTTCCACGGACCAAAATGTAGAAGCCACTATGGACCACCATGTGGTTGTTTTGGTTGTGTGTCACTGAGTTGATTCTGACTCTTAGTGACCAACAAAAGGGGGAACAATGGTATCGAGACCAGTATCTCTCTTTAAAACTATGGCCGGTAAATTTTTCCAAAGGACCAGATTCTGCCTCGGATTAGCTTCATTTCCTAGAAGACTCCACAGTGATTGCCTAGAAGGAACACATCTACTTAGGAACTGTTTATTCATGAAGATGTATGAACACATGCTTTAGACCTGTTGTTATTAAATGCCTTTGAGTGGTTTCCAACTCATAGAGACCCAAGGAGTGACTTTGAACCACCAACCTTGCTGTTAGCAGTCCTACAGCACCATACCAGGGTCTTGTTAAAAAAAAAAAAAAAGTCTGAGGCTACCAGCTTGCTAAGTCGTCAGCAAACCTGGCTAGACTTAACTGGGAAGTGGGGAAAATAAACCAGCTTTTATTAGGCATTAATCATAGTTGAAACAGTAGGATGGACACTTGGCAACAGGTTTCATTGAACTGTTAGCAATTCTGGGTATACCATCACCCCATTACACAGATGAGAACACTGAGACTCCTAGATTATGCTACCTTTTACCAGTCAATCACTAAAAAAGTGACAATGCTGGGGTTCACATCTCAAAGCACACGTTCTTTTTACATCCACACCTTTATAGGATCCAAGGTTCTCACACCAATTAGTGACTACTTACTGTATGTGCTTTCCCTTATGACAAATTCTTTGAGTGGAGCACCAAATTCACAGGGCAGACGAAGCGAGAGGACTTTCTTCTGCATTTTAGCAGATTTACGAACCAGAAAGATCTAGTGGAAAGAAAAGAAAAGAAATTCAACCTTAGGAAATATCTAGAAGGTTGGTACCTGTACATATACTTTCCCTCACATGTGCCTTCCATGAACAGAACCACTCTGTCCCTCTCCCACTACATGTGCCTTCCATGAACAGAACCACTCTGTCCCTCTCCCACTACATGTGCCTTCCATGAACAGAACCACTCTGTCCCTCTCCCACTACATGTTTCAATAACAGACCCTCAAATGCCAGAGAAAAAGGCACTTAAAGACCATACCACAGACTCTTTTGTCACGACATTCTCCATGCAGCTAAAAACTCCTTGAGTATGCATAAGCATATAAAGTTTGGTAACTGTTTTGTTGCTTGTGTTATATTCTCCAGCTGAGGTTTATATAAGCATCATTACTAATGAATACCTAAATTGTAAGCAGCAGTAACATGCTTAAACCAGAGGTGATGAATTGGAAGTCACTAGCTAATTTGGCTCATGGACATATTTTAAATCATAATTTGAATCTGTTTCCAATAGGAAAAAACAGGAAGCTTTTCTTTCCACATTTAAGCCCAGATTTCTAGCTTCTCTTGAAAAACAACAGACTCTGCCCATACCATGCCTCCACTCCTGCAGGGCAACAACTAGCCAGAGCTGAGCCAGGTTGCTGCATTGGGAAGGTGACAGGTTGCCCCATAGCTCTCTCTCTAGTCCTGACTTAATTCACTTTCTGACAGTTTCCTCCAGGATCTATTACTGTCTTCAGATGTGGATGCTTTAAACCAGCCCAACTCCCAGTACTGACCTCAGACTCCATTTTGACCCTGTTCACTGCAGCAGTTAGTTCTGCGGTGAGATCGTGCCCTGCACAGTTCAGGGCACACTGTTCATGCAGACAATTCCAAAGGCGCACCCAGGAATATGCAGGGCAGCAGTCTGGCCATGTCCCGCTGCCCTTCTGAGGAACCTGACCCTTCTCCACAGATCCTGCCCTGTCTGTTTCTTGCACTTCCTCTGATGTTTCCTCCTTATTCTCTTGGTATTTTGTTCACCTAACGAAGTCCTTTCTTCCGCGGAACAGCTGGTAGTTTCGAACTGCTGACCTTGTGGTTCACAGCCCGATTCGTAACCACTATGCTACCAGAACTCCTTTATGCTAATGGTGATGGAAAATTTGAAAAAACGATAGCAAATAATTTACACAACATAAAGAATGTAATCAATGTCACTGCATTGTACGTGTGGAAATTTTTGAATTGGTACGTTTTCACTGTGTATATGTTCACTGCAATTTGAAAAAGAAAGAGACAGACTCGCTTCTAAGTCAAAATATGGTAACAGGTTCTGGCTGCTAAGAAACTCAAAAGTTTATTTTTGAACCCATTATTTCATAAGGTTCTTCAGCTAGATACTAGTAGAATTTTCTGTTTGTTTCTCCATCTCTCTCTTAGTTTCGATCTTCCGTCATGCATTGTTATAAGCCTTATTTTATTTGGGACTTATTTTATTTATCCTGTTTTGGAAGTAGGCACTGTGCATAAGTACTGTCCAATAGAATTTTCTGTGATGATGGAAATATTTTGTGTATTGTGTCATCTAATACGGTAGCCACCAGACATATGTACCTACTGAGCACTGAGAATGTGGTTAATATGACTGAAGAACTGAATTGTTAATTTTCATTAATTTAAATTTAAATATGGTAGCACGTTGCTACCATATTGAACTGATCCAGATACAGCATTCATTAAATACAAATTGTTAGACTGACTTCTCTTCAGTTATGGAGTAGGATTGACAAGATGAGGCAGTGATCTTGGCTGGACAGTAGCTGAAGAAAGTGGGTCAGACTTTTTTTTATCCAAATAGAAAACCACTAAGAAAATCCAAGAAAAAGAGGACTACAAGGCCAGCCAGATCAGACAAGTCTGTGGACATAGACCATTTGAAGAGGAGGGTGCTAGGTTGGATGGTGGGACCAGGCAGGGTTCCCAAGCTCAGAATGAAAGGAAAGTGGCAGGGTAACGGAGGACCTCAGGTCCAAGTCTATTCTAGTGGAGGTGTCAAGAGGTCAGCACAGGGCCTTGGACCAGTAGTCCATCTTCATTACCTGGATGGCCCATTATCCTGCTGAATGCTGGAGCTTCTATGACAGCCAATGAGATGAGAAAGATAAATTATGAAGGGGTCTGTTATTGGAAGCTGCCTCCTAAGCTTCCTGAATTTCTCTGTATTGTAACCTAGGTACAAATCAGGAATTGTGCGTCCTACATTGGGAAAAACATTCTGGAACTCTTTCCTCTCTCTTAGGCAATAACATCTTTCACGCCCCAACCTGTTCTCATGAATCTTACCCCTGGAGGCTGGGACTGGAGGACTTGTACCGCCTCCTCCTCACTCAGATTCAGCTGCAGCCATATGGGGTGAGTGTGCAGAAGTCGGTCCAAAATGCTGAGCCTGTTGGAGAGGCTGTCATAGCCAGAGTCCCGGGGGCAGGCCTTTGTATCGTTTTCCTCGGAATAGCCATCACCCTTGTGTCTTACCATGCTAGGAAAAACAGAATAGGGTAGGATTTAAACACTGCAGTACAATTTTCCCCAGCAAGACTATTCCTACAATCTTGTAGGCTAGGTTCACCACAATGCATACACTAATTTGTGATCATTACCTTGTATGACTTCCTCTCCTTATTGAAAACTGTCTGAGGACACACACGATATTTTATTCTACTCTATATCCCTAATGTACAAGCTCTGGTAATGCAGTGGTTACAAGTTGGGCTACTAGCCTTAAGTTCAGCAGTTCATTTTTTTAAATCACACATCTCACTGCTACATAATGTACGGAACTGCAAGGTTGGTTTTAACCACTTTCAGCTGCTCCATGGGAGAAAGATGAGGCTTTCTGCTTCTGTTAAGATTTCCTGCTATGAGTTGGAACCGAATCCATGGCACACCACCACCATCACTATATCCCTAACATAAAGCGCAGTACTTTGTACTCAACAGAGCTGACCTTCTATTTCTAAACCTGTTTTCAAAGATTCTAGACATCCTAAATATCTTTTAGTTAATTAAGTCTTTGTCTTCTAGCAGAAAATATTTCTTACTTTGAGGACAGAATCCTAAATGTTAAATTCCATATATGGTAACCCAAAGAGGTCCTAATGCACAATATCATATTACAAGTATCATAAGCATGGCTCGACAGGTATCAAAGGCAAAACCCTCGCACTCAAACATTAACTTTGTTATCTGGATAAATCGGATTTCATTTTTTTTAATCACACATCTTGCTGCTATATAATATATGGAACTGCGAGGTTGGTTTTAACCACAAGGTCAGCAGTTGAAATCCTCTTTAGAAACCATATATAAGGTCACTATGAGTCAGAACTAACTTGATGGCAACAACAACAATCTTATAATAAAACCTGATAATAGAATAGAGCTGAGTTAGTGACAAAATTAGATTGATATTAGTCACCACAGCAAAAGATTTCTATCTAAATGAACCAACTCAAGTATCAATCAGTTAATGAATGGATAAATAAAATGTGATACACCCATACAATAAATGAAATGTTATTCAGTCAGACTGGATTTCTGGTAAAATGGTGGGACTAGGCAGACATGCTACCAGACCCTCTACAACAAAGACACAAGAGTCCACATGAACCAGATACAGATAATAATCCTGGAATTCTGAGTTTCCGAGGAAAGGACAGAGAAGTGGATTGAATACTGACTAGGAGAAGAAGCTGAACAAAAGTGGTGGGAGTTGAAGGATGGATGATTTGGTAGCTGGCCTGACGTCAACTGGATGGTACAAATGCACACTGGTGACGAAGAAGGAGCAGTTTTCCCTCGATCACCACACCTTCCTGGTGACCAGAAGCATGGCAAGGCCCCACCTTAACCAACCCAGGGTCCAATGATACCGGTTCCATTCTCCCCTACCTCCATGAAACCCCTATTCTCTCATGCCCTTGTGGATTGGAAACTGGCTGCACCACTCCTGTGTCTGGAAACACATGAACTCCCTCCACCTCATCAGACCAGAAGACCACTCAGTGCCTGATTCTAGGCCACCCCTGCATGAGCAGAAACTCTTTCCATAAGTAGCTGCCCTGACCCCAGCTACCCTTTGGGTCTGAAAGAGCTCCTTCTAGGAACAAGGACCCTGACTATAGCCACACTCTACACCAGTACGAAGGCATGAACTACTTCTGGATCAGGTTACCTGACCCCAGACACACCTAGGCTGGCAGGAGCTTCATCTATGATCGAGTGCTCTGTTCCTTTACCCTTTATCTCCCACCACCCCATGAGCCCCTTGGCTGCTAGAAGGTCCTGCCCATACTGAGTGCCCTGCACTCCACAGTTTTCCACTCTCTGGGTCCTGCCCCTGCCCCAGTTTTCTCCTTCTGTTACTATTCTCTCCCTTCCTTTTTTTAAATCCTTTTTTTGCTCTGCTTTCCAATTTTCTTTTCTTTAGAAACAAGAACAGAAACAAGGGCAAACTCCTTTCTTGATACCAGTGTGAGTTTGTGTTGTCCAGTTGCTGTCTCAGTTGACAACAAGCTAGGCACTAAATCACCCAACTGTCTAATCCCACCGCCTTTGTTCAGCTTCTTCTCATGTTTTCTTCTTTACCATTCTCCTTTTTTTAAACGGTTTTTTTTTCTTTCTAATTTCTCTTTCCTTGTTTCTATTCCCTTTTTATCTTTTTAATTATTAGATGTATTTTTATTGTGGCTGCTTGTTGTTGTTTTTCTTTATGATTTTCTTTTCGCTGTTGTTTGTTTGTGTTTCACTTCTTCTCTCTTTTTGTGTCCCACTTGACAGGAGACAGGAACCATGTTCATATGGTACAGCCACATCTGTGCCTCCTATAGTCCCACTCCGTGGGTAAGGGGCACCAGCAACTCTCATGCCACCTGGCCAATAACAGACAGCAGTCAACAACAGAGTTGTTAGGAAAAAACATCCCGAAAATCATGAGAGATGAGGAACACACATTCAAGAAGCTGAACAAATCCCAAATAGGATAGACCCCAAAAGAAAATCACCAAGACATATTATAATCAAACTTTCCAAAACTAAAGACAAGAAAAGAATCCTGACAGCAGCTCGGGAAAAATAAAAAGTTACCTACAAAGGAGAACCAATGAGACTAAGCTCTGTTCTCAGCAGATACCATTCAGAAAAGACAATGGACAACATATACGAAACTCTAAAGAAAAGAATTGTCAACTAAGAATCATATAGCCAGTAAAATTGTCCCCCAAGATAAGATTCTTATGATTCAATAATGAGTAATAGTTATCATGACTAATTGTGATTGTCACAATTGTAAAGGTAGACGTTTTTAACAAAAATGGGGGAGTAGTCAATCTTACAGTCCAGAAACAGAGGACTCTAGGACCATCAAGGGAGAAGAGCACAAGCAGAATGTGGGACCTTATCCAGAGAAGCAGTAACACCAGAGCTGGAGGCAGAGTTGGGAACATGGAGAGAGGGAACAACTGAGGGCTCTAGACTCATGGAAAGAGGAAGATTGAGTACTGGTGGGTAGGAGGCAGGCTTGCAGAATGTGCCCTTTGGTGATATAAATTGTTATATATGTCTGAGTGTTAAAAAAAAAAAAGAGCTAAAATGAATAGAGAGAAATACTGTTAACTGATGGTACATGGAGAGGATTATAATCATTGTAATGAAACAAGGTGTACGATTTGTTAAATGTAAAACTGATGATCTGCCCTGTTAACGTTTACTCAATTCACAATAAAAACCTTAAAAAAAGAAAACTGCCCCCCAAATGATGACAAAGTTAGGACATTTCCAGATAAACAGAAATTAAAGAAATCTGTATAAAAACTAAACCAAGTTTACAAAACACTCTAAAAGGAGTTCTTTGTACAGAGAACCAAGTACAGCAGACAACAACTAGGCATTAATATACACGACAAACCAAAAATAGAAGTTTTCAAAGTAAAACAAAGTAAGACTGAAAATAGAGAACCGGGAGACATCAATTCGTAATGAAGACAATTACAAATATAAGGAGGAAATAGTGTGGTTATAGATCTTCTAAATGGACAGGAAGTCAATTAGATTTCAAGAGAGAACAGATGGTTTTAAAGTTGGGAAGAAATTAATTAATTATGGGTAACCTCAAAGAATACTAAAAATCCTTTTCCTCAAAATAAAAAAGAGGGAAACCATAAAAATGTAGTAAACACTAAAACAATCGCAATGAAGACTGACAAAAGCCCCATAAACAAAATGAACACAGCACAGAAAATTATGTGGAACAGAGAAACCAGCCATATCATAAAAAACACAAACAGAAATTAATTCACCCATACCTATTGATAACTACACTAAATGTAAATGGATAAAAATGTCAAGAGACAGACTAGTAGAATGGATAAGAAAACAGGATGCACCAATATCTTGTCTGCATGAGACATATCTTACACACAAAGGCAAAAATAGATGAAAATTAAAGGAGGTGAAAAAATACATCAAGCTAACAGCAATAAAAACAAGTAGGAGTGCCACTGGCAATATCTGATAAAATAGATTTTGTGACAAAAATAACCATAAGAGACAAAAAAGGACATTATATAGTTATTAGAGGGTGAATTGGACAAGAGGATATAATCATAATAAATATCTATGTACACACCAGCTGCTCTGTGGGAGAAAGATGAGGCCTTCTGCTCTGGCAAAGATGCCCAGCCTTGGAAACACTATATAAGGTCGCTATGAGTCAGAACTGACTGGAAGGCACTTAATAACAGCATACACCCAATGAAAGAGTCTCAAAATATACAAATCAAACTCTAACAGAATTGAAGAGAGAAACAGGCAACTCTAAAATAATAGAGTGTGGTGGTGGTGCTGTGTTATGGGCTCAGTTCTGACTCATAGTAACCCTGTATAGGGTTTCTGAGACTGTAAATCACTATGGGCACAGAAAGCCTCATCTTTCTCCTAGGGAGTGCCTGGGAGATTTGAACTGCTGAAAATAATAGTTGTTGCTGCTGTTAAGTGCTGTCTAGTCAGCTCTGACTCACAGTGACCCTGTATAGGGTTTCCAAGGAGCAGCTGGTGAGTTTGAACCACTGACCTTGTGGTTCACAAACTGACCTTGTGGACCAGAGCTTATCCTACAGTGCCACACCATAACTCCAAAAATAATAGTATTTGTTGTTGTTAAGTGCCGTTGAGTCAGTTCAGACCCATAGCGATCCTGTATAGGGTTTCTGAGGAGCGGCTGGTGAGTTTGAACTTCCGACCTTGTGGCTGAAATGACTTTGCAGTCCAGTGCATTAACTCACAGCCCCACACCAGGGCTCCTAGAAGATTTTAATACACCACTTTCAATGAAAGACAGAACAACTACAAAGAAACAGAACTAATTAGTATGATAATCAACTTGACCTCCTAAATATACAAAGAACATTCCACCCAACAACAGCACAATGTACAATTCTTTTCTAGTGCACATGGAACATTCTCCAGAACAGACCACAAAGC